CTGTACACATTTCGCGGTGACACAAGACATCTACCCAGGACAGTATCTTTTCATTCGTTTGTTTTCCTCAAGATTTACGCTAAGACACAATTATTAAACTTTCAAGATAGACAAATGATTATGTTATATTCCCCGAGGTTCAGCCAGGAAGTAGACACATACGTTACTTTCACACATTTATTACACTACCTCACTATGTGCCTCTCCCATTTTACCACAAGCTTTATTATCCTCAGTACATAATTCTCTGTATCGTTGTAACTAGTCAAGATCAGTTACAAAACAGTACAGAGATTTTTTACGCTAGGAGGGTAAGGTAGCTGGTGGCCTGTTGGAGGTTGAGACAAATGCATGAGTGTACAGGAGGATTATGGTAATATATGACCAAGGAGGTGTGTAGGACCAGTCACTGTATATATGTGAGAGTAAAGAGTGAGTGTTTACTGCCAGTCTGTCACGGTAAATATTTATGATCCCGTTACATGAATGAACAACAATTGTTACTATTCGTTCTCGCTGAAACATCTGTTGACTGACTGACTTCTGAAATGATTGATTTTTATTGTCGCAACTTTTCTACATACGTTTTCTAACTGTATACTTAGGTACATTGTTTATTAAGGCATGTTGTGATTACATATAAACAGAAATTAAATGGGAGTCGTGCAAAGACGTGATATCGCTTGGATCATTACGAGTCGGTGACAGTCTACTCAACACTTACAAGAATCTTACTTCTTAACTAAAATGTTTACAAGCAAATGAACGTTTAGTTGCTGAAATAATTTTTTTCTTAAACTAGCTGAAGTATCAATTCTAAATGGTTTCGCCAGATGGCTAATAAACCAGACTTACTGTACATATATCTAACCAAACAATTATGTAACCAAGTGTTCCCCTAGCAAGCGTGAGGGCAAGAGCAGATAGCCTGATACACACTAGTCACTTCCATCTTGTCAACAACACCAAGTCCAGATTTCTCAAAGGTTCCTACGTTAATATTTCCTCTTATTTGAGTATGTTTACATCACATAAATGAATTCTCAAAACTCAGACAAAATTTCACCGTAACTTGATTGGGAACGTATGGAATAATCCCACCTTTCCCGCCTCATGACTCAAGCATTGACGGCCAATAAAATCAACTTAAGTTAAAATTGTCACCTCAGAATTTTCATACCATCCTTAAGTAATATTTACCCTCAGATGAAGAAACCTAACCATAAACACAACGATGACGGAGAACTTCCCACTCAGACTACACAAGGGGAAAAGATTAACGTAAATATCTTTGAGAATTCTGACTCGGTGTTCCGTAATATTGCTACGCTCCCTGTTATACTATGCTGAGTATATTGTATCTATTCCAGACATACTTACTTACATGATACACAAACATGATACAGTCTATGCAATCATTTAAAGGGTCATTTCTGTGGTTACAAAGATACTGTGATAGGTGACGTCAGTTTGAAGGTGTGTGTGTGTGTGTGTGTGTGTGTGTGTGTGTGTGTGTGTACGTACAGGAGACTCATGCTGTCATCTGTGAACGCTTTGACCCTCTTAATGACCTTTTAACCTGTATCATACCTGTCGTCTTGTATACACCACTTAACGTATGACTACACCAGTTCCTCTATACATACACACCGCTGACACCACACACACGACACCATTCTATTTATACATCTATACATTTAAAGAGTCATTTGTGTGTATATCCTCTACTACGTAAACATACGACTTCATATATACACATGATTAAGTATACATACACACCTTCATCTGTGTTCATACATGTATACTGTATAGCTTACGCATTCACTTACAGTATACATTCACTTCGTCAGATCATATGTGTGTGAATAATTTTCATGTATACACACATTCACTGCAGATATCACTTGTGTGTACACCTTTCAACTAGTGTGTGTACATCTCATCTACCTGACATCCACATTAATGTCTTGACATACAGTACACATATTCACTCACACGAGACAATTTGAAATTAAAATAAATATATTCATAATAAATAAGTTGCTAACGTAAATAAATTACTAAATACATAAATTAGTCACGAGAGTAATAAGTCTACATTTTATGAATAAAGAAATAAGTGACTATAAATTAATATTATTATTTTGCAGATGCTCCCAAGAGGTCCCAGGATTACCGTATTTAAACAATGACTAAGTTAAGCGGATACAGATGTATAACACGACTCTGCTAAGATTCTATTCATCCAGGAAAAATCTCTCTGTATCTGTCACCCGACCATGTTAAGAATCGCAGATGTAAAAATAATATCGGTTCGCTGATAAACTTCAAACTCGTTCTTAATCCACGTAATTCTGGTTCTTCTTCAATTCACAACGATAATACACTTAGGCACAACAACAACAGAAGAGTCAGGGCCTTACAACAACCAAAACATGACACTCACGAGGCCACAACGATAATAACAACAACATTCACGAACACTGGTGCAGAGTCTTCTAGTGGTCACGTAACACCTCGCTCATCAGCTGAGTTTTGTGAACATACGTGAGAAACTTTTTTCCGACTGCACAAATATCGTTATTATTTTGAAGTAAATAGATTGGACAAAAGCTTATTTTTAACCGGAACATAACATAGATATATCAGTATAATTGTTGTCTAAACAATGCTACATACACCCAGTAGGTCTTTGGTGTTTTTGGTGTGCATCCAAGGGTACTTGTTGTGCTTGTTGACAATTATATTCATGATAGTTCTAGTGCTTGTTGATGTACACCAAGTGGTCCTTTTTTGTGCTTCTTAAATCCATATCCAAGAGTAATTCTTGTGCTTGTTGACGTAAGTTTTATCCAGTGGAACTTCTTGTGCTTTTGACATACACCTATTGGTACAGTACGCACAGTACACGTGGATGGAGGATAAACCACTTAACTCTATATATATATATATATATATATATAATATATATATATATATATATATATATATATATATATATATATATATATATATATATATATATATATATATATATATATATATATATAAGTTGTTGCCTGTAATGGCAGGGATGATGTCTGTATAAACGACGGAGACTTGAAAGCAAACTAGTCCATATTGACGGTGTTGGAGAGATTACAAAATGGAAGGACTGACAGAAGCAAGTTGTATGTTGCCTTCGTGTAGGTGACGACACGTTCACGGAGGCACGTCAGGGGCTCAGCAGGTGGCGTGACATTATCCTTGAGGCCTCTATGGGTATAACAGACGCCAATAACATGTTTATGGGAGCACATTTCACGACGCGTTGGATGTGAATTGTCAAGGTGACCAGTGAACATAATTTCACCTGGGTTGTGTTATGTATGTCTCCTTAGGCCGATTTAAGGGTTCACAGTCCACAGGTCATGAAATGAGTTTATTGAGACACATTATTAACGTGTCCTTGTGCACCCCGGAGTGACCCCTGGAGGAGGATATTTCTCTGGTGGTGACCTCTCCTCCTGCAGCAGTAGATCTTGAGCCTCACACAACAGCATCTGTGGGCTCACCCTACAGGGCATGATAGACCAGGGGGTATGTTGAACGTGGGTACGCTAGGATTTGGGAACAATAGAGCCCGGATATGCTAGAGCCGGGGTATCCTGAGCCTGGGTACGCTAGAACTCGGGTATGCTACAGCACGGTACGCTACAGCCCGGGTATACTGAAGACTCTGGTGAGCTGCCGTGACATGTGACAACGACAACAGTAACACCTTATTGTCGCTTCACTCTGCCACACACACAGGAGCTAACTCTGGCGGCGTGTGTAGTCGTCACAGCACGCGTGGACACATCACACCTGCAGATGAGTGAGTCTTGAGGGAGTGTTGCCATTATAGGGGCCACACAGAGAGGATTTCCAGCGGTGTTATTCAGCCGAGGTCTGTGGCCGTGTATACACCTGCCACACACACACACACACACAGGGGCCGACTGGTGTTAATAGCACCTGAATATTAAACAAAAAAAGTTAATGAGAGACTTTTAAGAGAGGCTTTTCTCCACTTAATACATTCTCTATTTACAGTACGAGTCATTACGGAAGTGAGCAAAACGTGTGGAGATGCGTCGGTCCTCCACCAGCGGGAGATAAACTGTATATAAGAATACGTATACTTGCTATATATGGGCATTGTAGTTTATAAAAGATGAGTTTATTATTGTTTTCTTCTCCACTTGTTTATGGGCTATTGTTTGTGAGCGGCAGTGACCGTGTCTCTACCACAACACCTGTACACACACACACACACCTGGGAGAGAAACACACCAGTATCCTCAACTGACTTGTCACTCATGTTCTACACGTGATAAGTAGTCATATATATAATCACATGTGTGGCTGAGTTTCCCCTGATACACGGTAGTTGAGAGGAGGCGGCAAGGAAGGCAGGTGAAGGTCCAGTGGGAGAAGGAGGAGGAGGAGGCGCTATAGGAGGTAAGGAATGGCATCACAGGTCCTGAGTACTGACACACCTGGCAAGTGAGGGGTGAGGAAGGTGAGGAGGAGGCAGTGGAGTGTGTCAGATCCCAAATGATGCCCAATAACCCCAAACTTGGTGACCCTGACGAGGAACACCACAACACAACACGCTGGACGAAGACCCCGAGACATGTTGTTTATTTATTAACTTCGTAGAAAAAACGGGAGAGAGAGGAAGGAGGGTGAGGGTGGGACAGACAGACAGACAGACAGACAGACAGACAGACAGACACACACACACACACACACACACACACACACACACACACACACAAACGCCAGAAATATTCACCAGAGTGTTTTTGTGTTTTTGGGAGTCGACACACATCGCTGGTATGACTTGTGTGTCCAGACAGCCTCCTCAACACTAGTTGTCTTTTCACCGCGGAAGGGAGGCCGTGGCGAGGGTGGGGGTGGGGTGGGGAAGAAGAGCGCTTGGTGAAGTTTATCATCGTCATCATCATCATCCTCAAGATTACCATTATCATCATTCCTATCTTCATCATGATTATCACGAACGCCATCATCATAATCATCACTATCATCAACATTATCGTCACCATCATTATTATCATCATCATCACCATCTCTCACAGACAGTTGATGGCGGGACTTAAGAGGCAAACGAAAGGTCCTGAGAACAGAGTCGGAAGTCGGTGGATGGGACATCTTGAAGTCCAAGACGGCTGGGCTGGCTGGCTGGGCGGCTGGCTGGACGAGGGGGCCACCAGCTACAGCAGAAGGTACAGGCGGAGCGCAGGGGGTAGCTGGTCCCACTGACAGGCAAACGAAAGGTGATAGAGGCAGAGGAGCGGCGGCGCCCCACCCACACTGCCGGAGGGTGGGTCAGCGAGTGGGATGGTGGGCGGCGGGGTGGGCGTCAGAGGTCCCGGGTGCCGCAGATGGGGGTGCAGGAGGCCACACGCAGCGTCAGGTAGTGACTGACAGCCTCACGTATCCGGTACACCATGGAACCTGTGATGAAAGAGGTCCTCTTAGTCTCACCTGTCACACTCACCTCTCATGCTTAGCTGTCACGCCTACCTGTCATACCTACCTGTCATATTTATGTCTCACTCAACTGTCACACTCACCTCAATTCAACTGTCATTATATAGTCTCCGATATTGATATTCATAACATTTCATAACATAACATAACAATAACATAACACACAAATATAAAAAGTCTTTAGAAATAATGAATTAATATAAAAATAATTAATTGTATATAAGAAAAACCATGCAAGTTAATTAAATCTACCAGGCGTAAAGTTATAGTTAAAAGAAAAGGAATCCAAAGAAAACGGGCACAAAAACGAATCCAAAGAAAACGAACAAAGAGAATGAGAGTAACTTAAATAAAATATACACAGACAATGGAATAATATATAAAAAAATGTACACAGAGAAAATTGGATAATAAAAGGAAATACAAACACAGAAAATGTAAAAAAATAACATAAAAAATATATAAAATTGGATATACACAAAGAAAACAAGACCATCGGAACAACATTCAAATCTGACAGAAAAAATATGGCAACCCGTAAATAAAAAAAATATTAATACCTGAAAATTAAAACACCTGTAATTACCTGGTAGTACCTGTGGTTACCTGGATATATACCTGTTAAAGACCTGTAAGTAAGTGTGTATGTATGTCAGTGTAAAGGACTTGTGTTTTAATTACGTCAACATCCCAACGCTTGTATCCGCCAAATTAAACATTATCCGCGTCTTGGCATTTTCGCCTCAACTGTGTCAACTAATTCTAATCCATCGATATCCTCAATTAATCCATCAATCTCCTCAACTGATTCTAATTAATCTATCTCCCTCAATCTTCTTTCCATCGCAATTACAAAACAGAGGTTAATTTTGTTTTTAATCGTGTTTACATGTTCCCTCTAGTCGAACTCTCATCACCATTCCCCGGTCGTTGTATGTTCTCTCTCTCTCCCTTTTCACATCGTTAAATTATACCAAGTGAGTGTATATATTCGTCACCCTGTAACCTGGTCCTGATACTGATCCTAGTCCATGGAAGTGGTGAGATGGTGTAAGGTTCTGTGAGATGGTGTAAGGTTCTGTGAGATGGTAAGAATGGTGTTAATGCAGTATGCAATATATAGTAGTAATCTGTTGGGAAATACATTGACTTGATCTATCATACAGTAAATACACTCGTAACTCTGAGTCAAGTATCGTGTTGTATCCTGAAGCACTGTAGAGGTTAGCTGTAGTTAGTTAAGGTTACTGTAGCTACCAATAGTTAGTAATGACAGAGGGGTTAGTGTACCGGTTTGCTCTCGCTGTTATATCACCCTGGGCAGGTACACAGTGTCTCTCACTAAGTGTCCACACACTGCCCCTCACTACTGGGACACAGTGTCGACACGTCCACTACAGAGGTCCTGAGAGGGACACACCGAGTGGTGAGGGGAGAGGTGTGAGTGTGGTGGTGAGTGCGTTAGTATCAACCAGGTCAGGTCAAGGCAGCACCCACAGATACCAGGTCACACACACCCAGGATGAGAGAAGAGCCTGGGTCATGGTCCCTGACGAGGGTGACCCCCAGAGCCACCCTTACAGTACAGTACATGGCAGCTGAAAATACTGAGTGACATCGTTAAGTTGTTTGGGTTAATAAGGAACACCAATAATTTAGTACACACGTGTGAGTAGACGTGCGGGACGAGACGTGCAGCGGTACACGTGTAGATGCACACAGGATGTACACACAACCAGGGGTGTTTAGTGCTTCCTAATTGGTGCAGTTTTAGTGGATAGGGAAGCAGTGAGGGGGAGGGGAGGGACATGCGTGTACAGCGTGTGGGGTGAAGGAGGGCGGTGTCGTGGAGAGCATCATGCAGTGCTAGACAGGCGAGGGGTTGATGCCCTACCGGCCAGGGAAGGACATCTCTGGGCCTCCCTACTGTAGGCTGGTGGCCTCCAAGGTGCAGATCCCCGAGGACGTGGGCGTGGAGGGTGGGCGTGGAGCCGGCACCGTCACCCCGCCCACCACCGGCTACATGCAGGCGCCGGACACTAAACCACGGCTACCATTCACTACCAGCCTCTACCGGACACCTGCTAACTGCTTCTGGCTACAGGTCTATCGGCGGCTGTTGAGCAGACAGACAGGAATGAAGCAGAGGCAGACACAGGCAGGGAGGGAGTCAGACTGAAGTCTCCAGAAGGTGTGGGTTGTCGAGCGCGTGGCTGGGGAGGCTGGCACTGGCCCTGGGGGGCACCACATTGGCCCTGGGGGGCACGACGCACCTCACCACGTTCTCCCGGGAGGTGCGCTTGCCGCTGCTACCTGAAGCGCCGCTCACCAACGCCGTCAGGCTGCTAGTGTCTCCTGCCGCTGCTGCTGCTCCTGCTAAAGGCGATTCTAAGCCGCGTGGGGAGTGAGTAGCCACGTAGCGATGGCTGGTGGAGGCATGCTGGGCAGCCCCTCCCCAGGGGCCTCCTTGAGGATCTTTGAGGACTGGGTCTGAGGCATGCGACCCTCGAGACCGGCCAGGTGAGGACCCTGAGGAAATAAATGTTGACCATCACCTGAGCTCTGGCGGCGCCACACTACCATGGTCACACTACCAAGGCCACATTACCGGGGCCACACTACCAGGGAGACACTATCAGGGCCACACTCAGCCTCTAGAAAGCATCTACTACCTACCTGACGTGACTATGTTTTGCGTTCATGGAGGAGTAAAGGGGAGGGGGGGGAGGGGGGCTACACCTACTCCTCCTGCACTGAACTACTTCCTCGTGTTTACCGTCTCTCTCTCTCAGCTCCTCTCATGGTAACAGCTTGTGAGTGAACAATAATAGACTCTAACTAATAACATCACTACGGTACTTCCCTACACTAAACATGTGGCAACTGATCGACTTGTACACGAACACCTACTCATCATGGCTGCCATAAATAAAAACAAACGATCTGTCAGTGAAGTTCTTTTAAAAAACCAAAGATTCCAATAACATTAAAATTAAACAAATAAACAAATAAAAACAAATAAAATAACCATAACTTAATTTTACCTCATATATTTACAAATAAAAAATAATTAAAGATTAAATAAATTAAATATTTCTAGAAACTTAATACAATTTCACATTATTAAAAATCTAATTAATTATCAAATCTCTAGTTATTAATATTTTAAGTTATTTAATTTTCTGGTCATAATAATTTAAAGATAACATTAATATTTCTAGTTAATAATTTTTTTTACAACAAATTTACGTGAGGCAAAAAAATAATTATTAATATACCCCTGTACTGTATAATTAATTTTAAGTTATGTTAAGGGGTATTGATTAATTGGGGCACCTGTCTTTATATTAGAGAATCCCAAGTATGAAATAGGATTAATTATTACTTATCCAGTCTATACAAGAAATTAATTATTACCTGTCCTACCTGTACAAAATCATTAAATATATTTTAATTACTTATCAACTAAATCATTAAAAAACAAACAAACAGACGCTTACAACACGATACACCTCAACACAAACAACAAAAAACACTTAGAAATTGCAACACAACATCAACACAGCCAGAGATAACTTGCAACACAAACCAAAGAAGAGAATAGGATAAACAAATAAGAAATGACGATAAAAGCGTGCATGATATAAATTGGAAATATATATAGATCACATAATAAGACATATATAAATTACATATATATTTATTTAACTTAATTCACTATGTATTTTATTATATTTAACGAGTATTTATTCTTTTATCTTTAACTTTACGAGATATTAATGAAGGGAGCGGGAATATAAAAATTGACAACATTATTGGAACGTAAACAAAGGCTTCTACTCAGACGACGACTACAACGTGTACTACTACTGTACCATTGCCGTTACTGTACTACTATTACTGTACTACCACACATTTATATACGAGAACGTGCTACGAACATGACGATTTACGATCTCTTTCTTCCTTTCTTTCATTCTTTGTCTCTCTTTGTTTCTTTGTTTCTTTCTTTCTCTCTCTCTCATCAGGTTACAGTGCCTTTCTCTCCTTTCTCTCTTAGCCTCTTTGTCTCATATTCCTCTCTATATTTTCTCTCTCTCTCTGTCTTTCCTTCGTTCTTTTCAATTTCCCTTCCTCTATCTCTCTCTTATTTCATTATCGTTGTCTCTGTCACGTTTATCAATTTCTTTCTCTCTGTAACACACACACACAGAACACACACGGACACACACAGTTAAAACACTTATCCTCTCTCTTTCATTATCATCTCTGTAGCTCTCTCTCTTCCCCTCCTTCTTGCTCTTTCTTTCTCTTCTCTTCTCTTCTCTTTCTTTCTTTCTCTCCACATACAAACAACAACACGAACACACATTACGAGACAATATATACACAGAAACGGAACTCTGGATGGGCGTGGCCAGGAGGGTGAGTAGGCGTGGCCAGGAGGGTGAGTAGGCGTGGCCAGGAGGGTGAGTAGGCGTGGCCAGGAGGTGGAGAGGCGTGGGCCAGGGAGGGTGAGTAGGCGGCCAGGAGGTGAGGTGGCCAGGAGGGGGTGGAATGGTGGCCAGGGGAGGGAAGAAGGGCGTGGCCAGGAGGGGTGAGTCGGCATGGCCAGGAGGGTGAGTGGGCGTGGACTAGGAGATACTGGCGTGGCCTAAAAGGTACAGGGGGCGTGGTTTAAGGGATAGTGGGCGTGGTTTAGGGGTATAGTGGGCGTGGCCTGTGGGTTAGCAGGGGCGTGGAGTGGTGGGGGACGTACAGTGAGTGTCCGTGGGGGGACTTACTGGGGGCGTGGCGCTTCGAGGCGACAAGGGGCCAGGTCCAGCAGGGGGTCGGTGACGTCTGTAACACACCCTCACCTGTTAGTGTCTTACCTCACCTGGTTTCTCCCTCCTCTCCCTTTGTTCTCCCTCCCTCCCTCCCCTCTCCCTCCCTCCCCTCCCTCCCCATCTTTCCCCTCCCTCATGTGTCAAAGGACCTAGCTTATTTCACCTGAATATTGGTCACCCTAACCTAACCTAACCTAACGAAACTTTAAATAAAACTTCCAGAAATAAGACCCAAAATAACACGATAAATCAGGAATATGAATGGAAGAAAATAATAGGCGTAGTGAAGGATAATTAAGAGAGGGAATAAAGAGAAGTTAATAAAGATATGAATAGGAGAGATTGATGATGATGTAAGGAGGAGGAGATGGGGAGAGTGATGATGCAGTGAGGTAGAAGGGGGAAGAGGAAGTGAGGGAGGAGGAGGAGGAGATGGAGAGAGAGTGAATAGGAAGAGAAGGGGAAGAGGGAAGGGGAAGAGGAAGAGAAGGAAGAGGCAATAAGGCAGAGGAAGAGGAAGAGAAAGGAAAGAGGGAAGAGGAAGAGAAGGAAGAGGAAGAGGGAAAGATGGTTTCAGTGCTCAGACGCTAAAAATTTACGACACCGTCATACACATTGATATAAACAGCCAACAAATGAACAAAAATGGATTTATATACAATGTTGATGAATGTTGATGAATTAGAGATTTTTATAATACCTTGAGAGATATAAACATTTGCTGGAAAGAAGTTACAGATTACTGAAAGGTGTAAGTGGTAATAGGGGGCGCTGGTGGAGGGAAGATAGGCGTTCCTTTAGTCTTAAGATGTACGTTCCTTTACTCTTAAGATGTCCGTTCCTTTAGTCTTAAGATGTCCAGTTTTTACCTTAAGATGTCCGTTCCTTTAGTCTTAAGATGATGTTCCTTTTTTACTTCCTTAAGATGTACGTTCCTTTACTCTTAAGATGGTCCCCCTTAACACCAACTAAGATCCATATATATTTCTAAAAAAATCATAAAAATAAAAGACCAGATAACAAAAGCCTCCCGATTCCCTAAAGAGTAAAAGATGTGACGTTCAACTCCCCCATAAAGGCATCGAATCGTCTACTACAGCGACTAGATCCTTTGTTGATTGTCTATACCTGCTGTTTATACCTGGATGGCGTTGATGGTGTGGTGTAAGGTTAAAAATACAACAGTAAATCTATATGTACTGTATAAATTGTATCATCGATTAAATTAACTGTACTGAGTGTTAATCTATTGACTGAGTAACTGTTTAATCACTCTTAAGTATGTCGTTCTTATCCGTCGTAAGTATGATGTGAACACGAAGCCTCTCCCCCAGTACATAGGAGCGGTGTGGGTGAAGGTGTGGGTGGAGGTGTGGGTGGAGGTGGGGGTGTGGGTGAAGGTGGGGGTGTGGATGGAGGTTGGGGGTGTGGGTGAAGGCGGGGGTGAGACGGGGACGGAGGAGGGAGTGAGGCGGGGGCCGAGTATTGACTAGAGACTAAGCTGGCAACATTGATTTTCCATGGAGTGAATACCTTATTATCTGACCGGTGACGTCACAGAAACTGGCAGATCTAGCCAATAAGCGGGCAATCGTGACGTCATGAAGCCTATGATTAGAAGCTGATTGGTAGAGAGATAATATTCCTCGCTAGCTAATCCTGAAGCTTCTGAAAACTTAAGCTACAATGATTCATGGATGTAAACATTGTTGACTGACGTGTGTTAAAAATAGTAACAGTTTTAATAAGTTATTTAAACCAGCACCACGCGTCTCCTGTGCTTGTAATGTGTGACGTCATCTGATTATTTTCACCAGTTCACATTATCAGTCAATCAGTAGCAGGACGGTTTAGTCAGCTTGAATTTTAGCTTAGTACAAAACGGCTACAAGTATGAGGGTTAATGAGTAAGTATGAGGCTTAATGAGTCTGTGAAGTATGAGTGCAGAGTCTTGTGAGGTCTTAACACTAATATAAGTAGAGTCTAATGAAGTCTGACTAATAATAATACTCAAATCACCTCATCTGTTTCAATAAGATGTCCTAAACTATATTCCAAGTGTCCTAATGGTTGGAATGATGTCCTATGCCACATATTGGTCTTATCAGAACCTTCACAGGATGTCCTAAGTTATGTCTGATGTCCAGAAGTTTGTTTGTTGTGGACACTTTAAACGAGAATGCCTTGTTATGTCCTAAGGCTTATTGAGACGCTTTCTGTGGACACTTTGTGATGGTGAGGTGACGTTACGAGTGGTCTTGTGGTAGTTGTGCACGTGTTCATAATGTGCACCACGTCGAGTAAAGATGTGCACTGAGGGGGGAGTGGATCATGTGTGCACTAAGAGGCGGTGTGTAATAGTAGGCAGGTGCACACTACTTAAAATACGGTGCACATGAAAGGTAGTGTACGTGTGCACGGTCTAAGTTGTGGTGTGCACGGTCTAAGAGATTTGTGTGCACGGTCTACGAGGTTGTGTGTACGATCTAAGAGGTTTGTGTACACGGTCTAAATACCTGTGTACACGGAACTAAGAACTTATGTGCACAAACTAAAAGACTATATAATGTGCACCATCTATAAAGCTATGTGCACGATCTATAAAATTCTCTATGTGCACGCTAATAAAACTGTGCACGTACTAATTACCCGTGAATGTACTCATGTGGGTACTATATATAGCTGAGTACTCGTGAATAAGTACTCATAAAATTACCCTGTATCTCAAAACACCCCCCCTATAGTATAGTACTCACAACCATACTCTGTACTCATAAGTTTAAACACTCACAGTAGAGGACAAAAAAAAATTGTACCCGTATCCCCTTTAGAGTACAAGATTTTTTTTTAATATAATTTTCCACTGTCAACATCAAACTCAGAGAAGAAATTAACTACTTGTTGATCTACTACCCACAATACCCTCCCCTCCCCCCCTCCCTACCCACAGAAATAATCTATACCTCCCACAGTCCCACGGAATTTACTACCACCCCACCACCCACTCCCCCACCCACAGAAAGGCAACTAATACCATGATTTACCCCCACAGAAATATATCCTGACTAAGAAAATATACTTGATATATCCTCCCCACAGTGATGGGTATACTGATTATACTGGTATATCTCCACATAGATAAGCATATACTAATATAACTTACCTATATTAATATACTTTCCAGGTATAATACTGATATACCTGTCCAGAGAAATATACTTGATATATTCCCTAAAAGATAAATATATATACTGGTATATTTCCCACACAGAGGAGTATACCCAGTAAAACCTACCCACACAATAGAGATATAACCATATACTATCCACATACCCAAGAACATACCCACTCATACCCTAAATAACATACCACCCTCCCACCATCAACAGAGAGAAGTATACCCCCCCTTAAATCTACCCACAGAACAAAAACATATCCACATATCTACCCACATACTCAAAAATATACCCACATACCCACACAAAACAACAACACAATACTCACTGACACTCTCACAATACCCAGTTGAAGTTCTCCTGTTCGACGTTCGCCAGGCTAATGACCTGACGAAGCCCTTGGTACCCGTGTGGACGTTGTCGACACTCATGGACCTCTGTACCACGCCTCGCCACACGTCCTGGGCACCCACGCCTCGCACGCCCTCCGACCCTAGCGCCCCCACGCCCAGCTGCTCGTTGAGGGAGTACAGCTTGGTGGTGATGTCCTTACCTGGGGGTGGAGGAGAAGAGGGGAGAGGGGTGAGGGTGTGTGTGTGTGTGTGTGTGTGTGCAGAGAGAGAGAGAGAGAGAGAGAGAGAGAGAGAGACTCACCTACAAGGTTGTATATGATGGCTCGCAGGAAAGGCCTCACGTGCAGTAGGTGACGGAGACGTGACCTGGTCCAACACAGGTACATGCTTCTCTCCTCCGCCAAGATCGTTACCTGTAAACATACACCTGTTAACACACACCTGTTAACACACACCTGTAAACACACATGTGAAAAATACACCTATTATACATACACACACGTAGGTGATATACACAATACACACACAGACAGAAAACAGAAGAGAGAGACAGATAAACAGGCAGAGACAGACAGACAGAAAACTATGCCAATAACATAAAATGAAAACCAAAAAAAATAGACCCTGGAGGAAAGTTGAGTCCAGCTTAACTGTCTATTATCCAGGAGAATCTGAGGCGAGTTCAGGGACGAAGGAGTTCAGGAAGGAGGAGGTAAAAACGGGGTACGAGGAGGCTGGAAGGGGAGAGAAGGAGGAGGGAGGCAGACGGAAGAGGAAGAAGGGAGGGGTAGTGGAAGGAAGAAAGGGAGGGAAGGAGAAGAAGAGGGAGGAAGGAAGACGCGAGAAAGACGACGGGGAAAGAGATGAAAGGGAGAAAGCAAAAAAAAAAAAGATGAGAAGGATGGAGGAAGATGCGGGGAGGAGAAGAGACGGAGGAAAAGAATAGGAAGAAAAGACGGAAGAAAAAGAAAGAGGTAGGAAGGAGGGGGGGTAGGGTAGGTTAAGGTTGGGTTAAGGTAAGGTTAAGTGCACCATACCTGGAACAGCTCATCAGGTCATCAGCACACGCCTCCCATTCCGGTGAGTCGATAAACTGGTTGGGCAGGATGTAGTGAAGATGGGTGGAATCGCAGGTCACTCGTAGCCTGTAGAACAAAAGGAGACTGTAGACTACTTTAGGTTTAGGTAAGTTCTCTGTAATGTGACACGGGTATAAGGCGTTCCACACACACACACACACACACACACACACACACACACACACACACACACACACACACACACACACACACACACACACACACACACACACACACACACACACACACACACACACACACACACACACACACACACACACACACACACACACACACTGGTGGGCGTGGTCCTGTCCTTGCTGCCTGAGAGGAGACAAGAAAATTAACATGATTAGCTGAGCCAGGAGAGGTCAGGAGGGGTCAGGAGAGGTCAGGAGAGGTCATAAGAGGTTAGTGATGGGTTAGAGGATGTTAGGAGAGGTTAGGTTAGGTCAGGGGAAGGGCCAGTAAGGATTAGTGAGGGGTCAGGAGACGTTTGGGAGAGGTCAGGAACGGTTAGTGAGGAGCCAGGAAAGGATAAGAAGGTCACAAGAGGTTAGGACAGATTATTGCGGGTCAGGAGAGGCCAGGAGAGGTTAATGCAGGGTCAGGAGAGGTCAGGAGAAGTTAAAGCTGGGTCAGGAGAGGCCAGGAGAGGTTAATGCAGGGCCAGGAGAGGTCAGGAGAAGTTAAAGCTGGGTCAGGACAGGCCAGGAGAGGTTAGAAAAAGGCATGGGAGGTCAGGGTAGGTTTGGAGAAGGCCAGGAAACGTCAGGAGAGGTTCAGATGAAGACTCACTTGCCGGAGACGAGGATGGAGAGGCGCTCGTCGGCGGGGGTGACATCTTCCATGGCGTAGGTGTCCCCCGGCTCCACCCACACCACCGTCGCCTCCCTCACTAGGTGGCGGAAGTTCTGTCTGTTTACCTGTACACCCGGGAGCATATGTTAGTTACCTGTGTGCTAATTACCTGTATAGTGTTAGTTACCTGTATAATGTTAGTTACCTGTACAGTATCTTAGAGGTTAATGATCTTCCTTATAAGGGTTGAATTTAGTGATCTTACAGTGACCTAAAATCATCTTCTGTGATGTAAGATGACTGTAAGTAATCAGGGCCTATCATGGGTGACCTGAGCTAACCCTGATTGGTTTAAGTTGAACCTGAGTGACACCAATCTCTCGAATGGTTATATAAATAATACTAAAAAATAATAATAGTAACCCCAACTGACCTCCATCGACCTCAGACTGACCTTGAGGGGCCTGAAGACTTTGTCGTAGAGGTCAACGAGATCCTTGTGGACGCGGGGAGGCCACACGCTGTAGGTGAGGTAGAGTACGTGGCCCGTGTTGATCATGAGGAAGCTCAGATTCCACGCCAAGATGTCCACAGCACAGATGTCGAGTACCGCCCACAGCGAGAACAACAAGATCCCCACACATAGCACCACCCGCATCACCAGCGCCGACATGCGGAAGTTGTGCGGCACCAAGAACGCCAGCAGGCAGAAGAAGTTGGCTACCTGCGGCAAGAGGGAGAATGAAGTTCAGAGGATACCTATCTTGTGGAACGCCAGCAGGAGGGAGTTGGTCACATGCAGTAGGAGATACGGAAGGAGTTTGACGATACTTTCCTTCTGAATCCATACAGAAGGAGGGGGAGGAGAATAATCTAAGGATAACCACCTTCAGGAACCTAACCTAACCATCTTCAGAAACCCAGCAGGCAGAAGTGTTCGTCAAGCAGCAGGTACAATGGTCGTGTAGTATAGTGTAGTGTAGTGTCTCTTACCTATAGTGATGTATAGTGACATAACTGTGGCTGCGTGGTATAATAGTGTAAAATGAGGCTGACTTGTGTTGGAGGGTGGGGTGTGGTTGAAACTGGGTGTGGCTCCACTTGTCTAGGGGATGTGACAAGACAACAGGGGTGACAATTTGTTTAGTCGGCTGGAGTGTAATGGAGGGTGTGGAGGGGGGAGGTAAGGTGAATGGGTGGAGGGTGGGCAGGTGGGTGAGGATTGAGGTAGGTGGAGGGTGTGGGCAGGTTGAGGTAGGTGGGAGGGTGTGGGCAGGAGGGGTTGTGTCTCTTTACCACCATCCATCACGGGCGAGGACACACAACACACCAGGACGAGTGGACCATCCAGAGTGCGACTCCCCCCCAGAGGGCCGACTTAACCAACACAGGACTCTCGCAGGACTAACTTTATAGGGATTTAAAGGATCCTACAGACTACTTGAGACTCACATAGACTCACAGAGACTCACGGAAACTTCCCTCAGGCTCCCACAGAATCCAATAAACTCCACCAGACTATCATAGACTCTCCCTCAAATTCTTCCAGACTTTCATGAACTCCCCCCAGACTCCCATAAAGTCCCCTAGACTCCCAGAGACTTCCACAGACTCCCATAGGCTCCCAGAGACAGTCAGGCTCTCACAGATTTACTCGAGTATCAGTGAAGGAGGAGGTCCGTGAGGGGGCCGTTTCAGCGCCCCTTCTAACTCGCAAGATTTCCCTCGGGGTTACATATCCACTTTCCTCACCTTCCTCTTCACGTCCCTGCCCGCTCCTCCCTCACCTCCCCGCCCCTCCCTCACCCCCCACCCCTCCCCTCCTCACCTGTCCTTACTCTTTCTCCTCCCATCACATTCTCACCACCCCCCCCCCTCTACCTTAACAAGATACGTTCCCTGGTCGACAGTCATAAGGGATATATCACCGTAAGAACTGTTAACAATCACGACCTTACGATACAAATACAACAAGAATCATTTACGTTAGTTTCCCCTTAAATTGAAACAAAGAAAATGGGGTTTGTTTATATACAGTACAATTCTGAGGCCATTTTATTTTTGTTCTCTATATTCTACACTTATTTTAATTAGAGAAAGTAATTTTTTCTTTAAGTAGAGAAATTAGAAAAGAAAAGTGTATTACGGGTTTAAAGTACTTTCAATTGTCGATATTTAGAGAGAGAGAGAGAGAGAGAGAGAGAGAGAGAGAGAGAGAGAGATAACTAACTAATTAGAACTCACTTTCATCCGAGTTAAATAACTTTCTTTATCTATCACACTTTCTTTAATTAGAGAAAACAAAGAGAAAAAAAAACAAGAGAAAGTTATTGTTCCGGTTTTAAAATCACATTCACCTGGAGTTATCTTGAGGGAGACCGAGTTTTGTTTAATTAGTGAAAGTCAAGAAAGAATAATAATACCTTGGTCGTTCTTAATTCACCTGTACCTCAATGTTTACTTTAGGTGATTCAGAGTGGAGTCGGGCCAGGAGAGAGAGAGAGAGAGAGAGAGAGAGAGAGAGAGAGAGAGAGAGAGAGAGACTTACCTGGAAGAGAGTAAGGCTCGCCCCTGGCCACTCTTTACAGTACACAAGACGGCCGGCCAGTCCCACCGTCTCATTGACCGCCGTTTGATTCAAGACAGTAAAGTTATTCTGCAGGAGGAGGAGAAGTGAATTGTTATATCCTTCGGCCCAGGAGACATCAGCATCCCCCTCCTCCTGTCCGCCGGAGTCGTTGTAGAGGGTGCCTTCCGTCGTGGTACCCGCCGCCACCTCCGTCACTAGCTTGAACGCGGTCGGGCTCACCACCACCAAGTTGCCGCTGAAGTTGGTGACCAGCATGGTGCGGCGCCGTCACCTGCACCCCCCCTGTCGTGGTGAGAGATAGGTGGAGGGTTAAGTGAGACACACACACACCTGTTTACACCTGTTCCTGATTACACCTGTTAAGAGACATTTGTTTACACTTACACCCTATTATAATCACCTGTAGATAGATAGATAGATAGATATATAGATAGATTAGATTAGACAGACAGACAGATAGACAGACAGATAGACAGATAAATAGACAGACAGACAGACAGACAGACTCACCTGCTGAACTATATTAACCAGCATAGCGTACCTTAACTAACAGGTGATGAGTTAATTACCTGGTGATATACAGTAAGTTAGCTCTGGCTCCTACCTTCCTACGAGAGAGAGAGAGAGAGAGAGAGAGAGAGAGAGAGAGAGAGAGAGAGAGAGAATGTGCCGCACTGCACCACCTCGCTTCCAGGTGTGTGCCATCCCCCACACACCTCCCCCACACACACCCTCCCCCACACACACACACTCTCCCCTGCAATAATACCCTCAACAACTTCTCCCCACACACACACCCTCCCCCACACACACACCCTCCCCCATCATCTCCCCCCTACACACACACACTCTCCCCCACACACACCCTCCCCCACACACACCTCCCCACACACACCCCTCCCCCCACACACACCCTCCCCACACACACCCCTCCCCACACACCCTCCCCACACACACCCCCACACACACCCTCCCCCACACACCCTCCCCCACACACACTCTCCCCACACACCCTCCCCACACACACCCTCCCCTACACACACCCTCCCCTACACACCACACACCATTAGAAATGCCTCAGGGGGCCACTTCGGCATAATGTACAGTCACTAAATATTGTAGATAGAGTGGTATCCAATCTCTGCTTCGATATTCTGTTATTCTTGTCTCGTTGTCTCGTTCTCTTCTCTCTATTCCTCCATTTTATTTCTCTCTATATCTTTCCCTTCTCTTTTTTTCACTTTTCATCGCTCCATCTTTCTCTGTCTCTCCTTTTCTCTCTCTCTCCTTCTCTCTCCTTCTCTCTACACGTGAGTCATTGTATATAATTACCGGAGAATAACAACAACAACAGTTCCAATAATACAACTGGATATAACAAACTCTTTAAAAACGACATAAATATTTAGATCGGCTCAAATTTTCTTCATTGATTAATTCATTATTTAATCGTCTGAAAAATAATATGATCCAGGATGACAAAGTATACACGTGAGTCATTGTACATAATTACCGGAGAATAACAACAACAACAGTTCCAATAATGCAACTGGATATAACAAACTCTTTAAAAACGACATAAATATTTAGATCGGTTCAAATTTTCTTCATTGATTAATTCATTATTTAATCGTCTGAAAAATAATATGATCCAGGATGACAAAGTTAACCCTGAATTAATAATAAAATGCAAAATAAGATTCGTTCCAATAATGTTTTGTTAAAAGGGAAACTCTCTTTAAAAAAATATATCAACATTCGTATATTCTCCAGGAGCCATTCACTTAATATTCTGTATGAAACGAAAATGAATTAATTCTGTCTGAAAACACAAAACAATAACAACAACAGTGGATTAATATGAATATGAAACAAGTCTCATTCCAAAAATGGACTTAAACCCGACTAAGTCTTCAAAAAAGATGCAAACATTGATACGGTTCCAACAATCTCCAAAACTCATTAACTTACTATTCAACCTCATGAAAAAAAAAATAATATCTTTTAGAAATACAATAATATTTTATGAAGTATAAAAGCTCATTGTGATTTAATAAACATCTAAAAATAGAATAAAACTGACAAATAATTAATAAAAAAAAAATCCCACGTTCCAAAAATGTACGTAGATTCACAAAGTCTCCTGAAAAGATCAAAACACTGGAACCAGGCTAAAAGACCCTTCACACTTAATGAAATAAATATCAAGCTCTAGAAAATAATACCAACTGAAAATTGAGATAAAGAGAAAAACAGACTCAAAGAAAATTAATAAAAATGGAAATGTGGGTAAACAAAGATGGAGAAGGAGGAGATAAAATAAACAAGAGAAAGAGGTGATGATGTAACAGCTAATCAAAATACAGACCTGCCTTGTGTGTTTTGTATAACTGTAGCGTGACGACGGCTTTCTTTCTTTCTTTCTTTCTTTCTTTCTCTCTCACTGCATCTCTCCGTTTTCATCCGCCCCCCCCTCTCTCTCTCTCACCGGCCCTCCATTTGCACGTTACCAACTGGGGGGGTAATGAGGAAGCGTGGAGAGGTTGGGGGAGAGTCTGGGGAGAGGTTGGAGAGTGTTGGGGAGAGTGTTGGGGAGAGTGTTGGGGAGAGGTTGGGGAGAGGCCGAGGAGAGTGTCAAATAGGGAGGGAAAAAGGGTGAAAGCCAGCAGGGAGGGAGAAAAGAAAGGAGAGAGAGGAAGGAGAGGGAGGAAGGGAGAGGGAGGAAGGGAGAGAGGGAGAAGGGAGAGAGGAGGGAGGGAGAAGTCATAATGGAGGAGGAGGAGGAGGTATGTTTGATGGGGGTGAGAAGAAGGGAGAGAGGGTGAGGAAAGGAGGAGGGAGGGTGAGGGGGGGAGGAAGGGAGGGTGTATAGAGGCCCTCGAGGAAGATAAACACTCTCCTGAGGAACATGTCTCACTCTCCCTGATATATCTCTCCCTTAGTGAGATAACCTAACCTAACCTAACCTAACCCAACCTAACCTAACCAAACAGTCTCTCCATTTGCTTAGGTACTGTTTATGTAAAGGTACACTCTACGACGTACACACACACACACACACACACACACACACATACACACATCAAAAAGGCCAATAAAAAAAAATAACCTAGGAACCTTTGAGAATCCACCTATTTTTTATAGTAAGTTAAGTGAACCAATTAGTTAAGTGTAAAAAAAAATCTGGAAATACGAGCCTTTGAGAATACTGTACCGCCACGAGTAAAGTTATTTTCAGTACGTTATCAGTGGAGGCGCCTCGTTGCCAGACTTCCTCGAGTAGTAAAAAAAAAATAAGGTTTCTCTCCAGTCAAGTCACGTTAACTAGGTGGGTGGTGTCTGGCAGTGCGGTACGATCTCCTCCAACGTGTATATTACAGAGCTGCCAGGCGAGTTAAGAGGGTTAAAGCCAGCCAGTTAGTGTGTTGAGAGATACATAGGTTAAGTTTCTCTTTTAATTGGTGATCTAAGGACGTATTTAACTGGCTCACTTAACTCTACAATAAATTGGTGGATTCTTAAAAGTTCAGACGTATTTTTCACCCCTTAACTGGAGACATAAAAGCACAATTAACTGACTGCCTTACGTTACAACACAAAGATGGATTCTCATAGGTTCATAAAGTCAAATATAATTCTAAACTACAGATCAGAGAACGTATCTAACTCACCTAACTCACTCACTTAAGTTACCACACGGGGACACAACCATCAGAGGAACCTTTCGCTAACACACTTAAGACTACAGGAACTATATTACGGTCTGCCCTTTACCCAACCTGCAGTATGAGCGGACGAGCACCCAAGACTGCGACAAGACCCAAGACCCCACCCCCAGCCCCCCCCCACCCCCAAGTAATCCCTTAAGAGCGACAAGACCCCACTAGTCCTACCCCCCAACCCCCCCCCCACCCAAGTCCCCCAGTAATCCCTTAAGAGTAAACTGCAGGGCGATTATACCTCAGTCTAGTGTCATAAACCCTGACTGAACGAGCACTGGGAACACGATGCTGCCCTTATGATGGTGCAGTACAGGGACTTACTGTATGCTCATGACTATATAGTAGGTGTTAGGTTAGGTTAGTGATAGGGTGTTTTATCTTCAGGTGATGTAATTAGCGGGTTTATCTTCAGGTGATAAGGCCGATATATTGATATATTTTTTTTTATTTTGAGTGAAAGTATGATACGTTTTCCGCTAAGGTAATACCGCCAAATTGCCAGACGATCCTAGTGAGTCAACACCGCTGCCAGACGATCCTAGTGAGTCAACACCGGTGCCAGACGATCCTAGTGAGTCAACACCGCTGACAGACGATCCTAGTGAGTCAACACCGCTGCCAGACGACCGCTGCCAGACGATCCTAGTGAGTCAACACCGCTGCCAGACGATCCTAGTGAGTCAACACCGCTGCCAGACGATCCTAGTGAGTCAACACCGACTGTGAGTCAACAGAGACGAGCCTAGTGAGTCAACACCGGTGCCAGACGAGCCTAGTGAGTCAACACCGGTGCCAGACGATCCTAATGAGTCAACACCGGTGCCAGACGACCCCAGTGAGTCAGATATTGTCGTATCTCCAACACAAAAAGAGCGCCAAGAAAAAAAATCTTCCTTACATCATCAATACAAACATCTTTCTTAGCCAACACTGTGTCATGAGTGAGCCAGCCGCCACCACCAGCCCCACCACCATCAGCCACCACCAGCCCTCACCACCAGCACCATCACCACCCACCACCACCACCACCAGCCCCACCACCACCAGCACCACAACCAGCCCCACCACCACCACCAGCACCACCAGTCAGCACCAGCAGCCGACTGTCCTCACTATTATTGCCGCACCGGGACACACACTAGTGGTAAACAATATATTTAAAGAATATGTCAGACTGTGTGTACCCTGGAACATGTCTGCAGAGAGAGAGAGAGAGAGAGAGAGAGAGAGAGACCTTGATAACTGTACTGTACTGGGTGAAGGTCGTACCCTCTTAACAACACCGGATACACAAGGGCCATAACCATCTAGGGTAAGACGTCCATGATCTGTGGATAGATTGGTATAGGTAGATAGGCGGGTTAGGTGGGTGGGTGGGCTAGGTAGAACGTCCATGAACCGTACGTAGGAAAGGTAGGACTCTTGATAACTTGGCCTCAGTGCCCTGACCTTGGCCCAGCACACACAGGACCAGGGACGCCCCAACCCACTGACCCATTTCCAGGACACGTCGATACCACCACCCCCCCCTGACGTCATGTTTACTGGCTGCCCCCACCA